GCTCAAGCATAGGCTTTGGAGACTAATTCTCCAAGATACTGAGAATCTGGCAAATCTATTGACCTTTAAAACATGCAAATAGCCCTAAAGGCTCCTTGGCTTCTGCTCTGGTACTCCCAAGTACACTTGTTCTTTCCAACTTTGAGGAAGGGGCTGAGGTTATCAGAAAAAGAAAGCATGATTTAAGCCTAGAACAAATTGATACTAAGAATTGTTTAAAAAAGCAACAACTGTATTTCACAAGTACCTGCTAGAGGCATGGCTAGTGTGTAACTTGACAGTATTTTATTATTTTCTTCTAAATAATGTAAGGTTTGATATCATTAGTCAGCTGTCACAGCAAAGTTCTGAGGAAACCGCTGGTCTTGTTGCACACTTTCGCAATTACTTGAACACGTGAAGGACACACTCTTGTATGCAACTCTGAAGCATTTATTTAAGTTTACGTGAGACAAAGGGAAATATATTACTGAACAGGCAGATGTTTTTTTTCTTTCATTTGCACTTAAAATATACTTTAAAACTGACATGAATATTTTTCTTCTGCGTGAGAATAACTTTGGATCAAAAAATAAAAAATACCAACTTTAATCAAGAAAAAGTTATAAAATAGAATTTTAAGGCTTAAAGTGAACAACTTTGTACTGGAAATAGAAAGACAATTAACAATGAATCACTTCTCCAGTATTTAACAGTTAAAATATTTCATTAGGTCTTGCTAATCATTTGGCAGGAAGACGTTTTCCAGAAACTAATGCTTTTAAACCTGGTAGCATTAAGAACACAGTTCTTAAAGGAGTTCTTATTCCAGATTTGTTGCTTTGAAGTACCTATGATTACTGTAAACAGTTGGAACTGGCGATTGTTTACCTGTTAAGATAAAGACTGCAGACTTGGCTTTTTGTGTGTGCTCTCATCTTCTCCTCACGTTAGCGGATGTGAGGCATTCAGAAGGTGTGCTCCACCTTCCATAGGGAAGCAAAGCAACTCACTTCAATCCAGCTGTTTCAAGGCAAGGAGTCCGACGGTATCAATGCAAACTGCTATGTGATGCTGCTGAGGACTGGGTTTGCAGCAAGCTGGATCAAAATTTTAAAGCAAAGATAATACTTTTGCTTTCTAGAATTGCAACAGAAAAGTTGTCATTTCTGCTCTTCTTTGAAATATACTGTGCCTCTGTTTGATTGTATACCAAACCAGGACTAGAAGGAAACAGGAAACTAAATAAACCTGCAAGATTCTGAATCAGAAAACATGGAGAGGTTACAAAACTGAGCATTTCTGTATCGCACTGATACAGTGTTACGCTCCACATTGTGGTGATCTAACGGACTTTTGGAAGATAATAGCTAACACTGACTTCAGTGGAAGTTCTAACATTGATTTTTGTTGTTGCAGTAGCCTGCCCTGAATAAGAGAATGAAATACCACGTTAGTGTGAAGTCAGATTGGTTATTCAATTAAGCAAAAACAATGAACAGCCAAGCTGTTCAGGAAGGGAGCACAGTTACAGAGTCTCTCGTGCATCTTGACACAGTACAATTAGATAGTGCCATCCTTCACGGGACATGAACTCAAACAGCATCACATGTTTTGTGACAACCCAGTGTTGTCTCTGCTGCTTACACAAGCCTTTTTCCCTTGGCTTCTCCATCCGTTAACAACACAAACATAATTTTTGTGTCTTTTTCTAGCAAGTGTTCTTTGCGATCAGCACATCAATACTACTAATTAACAGAATTTGCATCCATTCACATAAGCTTCCTTTACGTACTCAATTTATGGGCTCAGTATATGCAGAAGAGAAATGTCCTGTAGCAGTTAACGAGCAAAATTTAATGACTACAGAATATTTTGGATCAGATTCTGATTTTGTTTGTATCAGATGCGCTAAAAGTAATTGAAATTACTGACTTCTGCATTATGTAAGGAGATGTGCTGTGTAAAGTTTTGATCCTTTTGCTAGTAAGTACTGTCAAGGAAGAGAAAGTTACAGTTCAGCTGTCAGATTTTGGTAATCCACTCTCTGTAGCCTCAGTGAGACTCCTGGGGCCCCTTCTTGAATGACTAACTAAGGAGTAATCCTTCTTACACAGATTTTTGGGAAAAGTCTTTCAGCAGTAGCTTCTTGTCCTCCCAGTTCCAAAGAACTGAAGGTACATTTTAAAAAACATGGTACCACTTAATCCTCAAGTTGTCAATTCAGGTTATAATGATGTAAGATTGGAGACATTCCACTGAAATCACGGAGAAAAGGTTGAAGAGATAAGGTTTACATGTTTTCTCTGTGCACTTTGCATTTTAATACATGCTGAGTTTTTGGGTGTGTTGTCTGATGTTGTAAAATGTGAGAACCACTACTCCTGTCGGTAATATTAACAAGTACAATTCCAGCACTGGTAACCAGATATTTGCCAATAGTAAGTACTAGTGTTCCTTTCTCCTAAACTACATAAAGAACTCTGATTAAAGTGATCACTCTAGTAGTTAGAATTGCCTAATAGGGTATATCCCAGTCAAAAAGGAAAAGTTTGTGCTTGCTTGAATTCTTAGTTTCTACTCAGTCAATAGGTAACTTAATCCACATAGGGTATTCAGACAGGCAGTGGAAAGTAAAATAATTCAGGAAGTATAGAGTGATGACGTTCTGAAGGAACCTCAGGACCTGGTCCAGCCCCTCACTCAAGGCCAGCCAAGAGGGCCACAGGGGAGTTCTAAGCAGACAGTTGCTAGGCTTCTACTAGGTATTAAGCCGGATGGCTAATATGCAGCTTGGAATACTTTGGATCAAAACCTACTCTTCAGTTCTGGCATGAAATAATGGGAAGACCGGGGCTGCAGATGGGAGCAGAATTTGATCTTTTGTGTCTTAATTTTCTCTCGTCCCACTTCCCAACAGCACTGAATTAAGTAAGCAAAATCCAATAACTTTCCTTGGATTATTTTCCCAAGAGTGGTTATTAGCATGAGAAGCTTTAAATTTTGGGGTTGCCCAACTCTGACTCAGTCTAGGTTTAGTTTTGGAATCCCTAAGCCATCCTAAGAACAAGAGAAGATAAGGGGAGCAGTAGGTTCTCTGTCCTGGAAAATCAGACCCACAATGTGTCTTAGGTTAGGCACCCCATAACTAAAGTCACTTCAATCAGAACATCACTTTTAATAGCTATTAGTTTTATTTTGTTTGCCAGGGAGCAGGTACAACACAGGAAACAACTGGTATTTCTGCTTTCCCACTGAAATAACCTGCACCTCCTTTTGTCTCTCAGGATAAGAATGTATTTTAGCTTCCTGGTCTGTTCAGTCTGGGGTGAATCGCCTGAGATTTCTGACAAAAGCATGAAAGTTGTAGTGATGGTTTTGTTTTATGGTCTTCACTCAGGTGGGAAGTGGGAGAATACATGAAATCCCCTTCCTCTAAACCCTTAGGGAACCAACAGTTACAGACAACATAAGTGGTATTTATAGGAAACCCAACGAAAGGCTCTCTCTTTCTCAGTCTCTGGCTATATCCAGTATCCTTTTGCTCTTAAGGTAACTCCTTGTTGTTTTCTTTGCATATGTAATTTTTTAAAGTTACATTTTTAACTTTGAAAAAAATCCAAATAAGGTCTAAAATGAAAGTATCTGTTAATCTTTCTTTTAATTTCTGTGACTTTCATCAGAACTTTGTTGCATTCTCCACCCATGTTGGAAGCAGTAAGTAAAGAACTGCATGAAAACAATGTCCAAAGAAGAGGGTTAGCAATAATTTAAAGATGCAGGAAATAATCTTAGATATTCACAGGTTCTAAGTGCTGAGAGGTATTAATACAACTGTATGGATGCTAAATATACTAAAATCAATCATTAAGTGTTGTCACTTAACTTCTTCTGTTATACTTTCATTGAATTGCTTTATTTATTACTAATAGTTACAGTAGGTTTTTTAGCTCTTTGCACCTGTCGCTTAACTTCATAACTTTTGCGTATTAACAGAATTTTCTCTGTCCTTATAGTAGACACCACACTTGTGATTATTTCCTGAATGATGGTGCAAATTTAAATTTCACCAGATCATAATTCCTTTTCAGTTAGTTAAAAAATGAGCTAGATGGTAGATGCACTTTTCTTTTAGTCACATTAAAAATTAGGAAAAAGAGACTGATATTTAAAAACGGTGAAGTTACAAGCTTGATATCATCTGTGTTTAAAGACAGAGAATACTATCATAATAAAGAAAAAAATATGAAGCACATCTGGAAAACAGTTTCAGCTATGGGCTCTAGAGAACATGCTTCAGACAACAGGAATTTTGGTTTCCTATGTCAGCATCCTATGCACGTGCCCTGTACCTTTATGAATCCTTACACCATGAGTACACAGTTCATGGAGTACACACACACACAAATATAAATATATAGGGTATACAGCTGTACCTACATGAAACACTATATTTATCTAGTCTTGAGTTCAAAAATTCTAAGATTATTTGGCATAATAATATATAAAAATGTGTTACATCTTTTCCCTTTAACTTGTGCTTTGTGATTATCTGGCATGTTTTTTTAGAATTACATTCAAAGTCATGTTGTTTACCCTCATTCAGGATTGTTGTTACTGTAATGTCAATGTTTTCACTGGCAGTATTCCAGCTAAACATCATCAATCCTTAACATGGCTTGCTACAGTACAGTAGCTTTAATTCAAGCAGTAAAAGTGGTATTGGCTTTTAAGTGCTGAAAACTATGTTTACTATGTAATTCTTAGCAAACTACACAGTACTGAATTTATTGCACAACACTCCATACCACAATTACCCTGCAGTAAAATAATATGCAGAAGTCTTGTATGATATGTTACTTGCAACATTTGCAGCAGCAGTACACTTAATTACAAACAAGTTGCTTGTAAACCTTGAGCATCTTGACTTGTACCTCTTTTTTTTTTTTTTTTTTTTTAATTTTCCCCCCACAGTTCTAGGATCTCTGCAGGTGTTGCTGGAACAATAGTTTGTTTGTTTTTCAAAGTTCTTCACTCTCCACCACCTTTTGGGTTGGGGCTGAAAACAGGATAGGGCTTTCAGTGGTTGGGAAGGTAGAAAAAATGTCGAGTCCTTGACCGGTAAGGTTTGCATACCGGCTGCCACCAGGTCGAAGCTTTATGGGTTGCGGAATTTGACGGTGCCACTGAGCTGAAGCAACAGAAACAGAATAGGCTGTATAAACCTCTAATTAAGTTAGTGATGAGACAACAGAAATCAATGCACACAACTGAGAAGTTGCTTCCAACATCCTTGAAGAGCACAGCATTGTTGTTCCCTGTTTTAGGGTCTGTTCCTTCAAATATTATCGCTTATGTAGTTTATGTGTTGAGTATTTTTATTGAAGTCCACAGGTGGAATTCCATCCCTGTTCAGTTCAATGGCAACGTTTACGTGGATTTCACTAAGTCCAAAATTTAATCTTTTAATCTTTGGAGCCTTCTCCAAAGCTCTTGCAATCAAAACTAAAAACATACCATAGCATGAACAGAGATGAACAAACCAGACTTGGATCTGATTTTGTAGTACTCCATCCTCTGGGAGACTTTTCTTTCTGATACTTTTTTTGGTGCTATTTAACTTCAAAGTAATAATATAGGGAATTTATTTAAAGAAGTGATTACAATTTTTATTTCCCTCTACTACTTGCAACTAGTAACGCATTTCCTAGACTTGTTAGAAGATACTGAAAGAAATGTAATCCAAGGACACGTACTCAGTAATTTAAAAGTAACACTCAACATGTTCCCATAGGGACAAATACCGTTACTATTTTGTAAGACTATTTAGCCATTATATAACATTTAACAGTTGTCATTCTTAAAACACTCCAGAAAGGGAAAATTGATACTATATTTGCTGGTATTTATCTATAAAACCCTCCAAGTCTGCACCCAAACTGGACAAACATATCTGTCAGCAATTAGAATGAAAAGGTAGAAGTTGAGGCAACAATACTCTGAGCATAGCTTAGCGCGGGAGGCCTACAGTCACATGTTAAGCATTGATAGGAAATGTTCAGTATCTTTCCATGCTGAACTTTGACCCTGTCTATCTGGAAATATTTGAAAAAGAGCCTCCTTTTTTCTTGCAGCCCCCAGTCTGTTTCTAGTTGAACAATACACTCATTATTTAATGTACTCCTTTTTTTTTGCACATGGAATTGCCAATATCAGACCGCACTTTCAATCCCCCAACCCCATCCATTCACAAAGAAAACCCATAGCACAAATTAAAATTATTTCTGATGCTCACTTTGGTGTATAAGACTTGCAGAGTCTTTGGAAAATATGGTTGGAATCAGGAAGCATTTCTTACTTTTCATCTTTTTCCCGTTTGTACCTTTCATCCTTTATATGAAAATTTAATTTATGTCTTGCAACATTTAGATACCTAAGGAATTATTTTTCACTTTTTGTGACCTTTTTTGAATCAGACTCTCACCAGCCCTCTCTTGAACATTGCATTACTATCGCCTATATCACCACAAGGTGGCGGAAAACTGACAGAAATGCACCGGTGACTTATGGTTATCCCTGATAATTGTTTAGGGTTTTTTTAAATGAGAAATACAAGGTTGAAAACATGGTGGGGTTTTTTTTCCTTTGAGGGTATGGCCATAATCCAATAGTTTGTGGAATGTGTTTTCTCTTTTATTATGCTGCTTAAGTGATCAAAGTGCTCTCTTGCTCTAGATAAATTGTCTTAGCTATGACATCTTGCATAGATACAGAATAATTAAATGGTGTACTGTAGTTTTTGAACTGGGCTGTTGCCTTCTGAGTCCTAGACAAACATATTAGATGCAAACTAGCCTCCACTAGTTATTATCAGGCACAGTTTGCATCATACATGCTCCGTAGAAGAAGGGCTCTGCTTTCTTGCGTGCAATTTATTGTTCCATCTCAGGTCAGGGCTGTAGCACAGGCTACAGCCTGTGCCAGAGGGAACAGAGTTAAAGTTCAACTTGAATACATGTTTATTATATGTTTATGTGTCTAGGGCATTTGGAAGGTGGAAAATGGGAGTAGAGAATGCTGTGCAAAACCCCTCCTCTGTTTTTGTTCTTTACCTGACTTTAAACTGGTGCAGGAGAGCTAATTTGGACATTTAGCTGGTTACACCTCCTCCTGGTGGCCATATTAAGCTGTGGCCATGCTGTGACACTAATTTCTAATCCACATCAAACCCAGCAATTTACAGACTAAGAACTAGGTGAGGGCTGGGACCAGTCAAAGAAAAAAAGTTATAATATGTTTTATTTGCTAGCCAATACCTACCATATATGTCAAGTCTAGCAGTACAAGAGACAATACCAGCTTCGTTTTTTGCAGACAAGGTATACCAGCCAGCATCTGCTTTCCTGGCAGGTTGAATCAGGAGGCAGGCGTACCCTGTTGTATCTTGATGCATGCTGAGAAAACAAGTGTTTTGGAATTAGTATTTCTCAAGAGCATATCATCTTTGAGATTTTACAATATGTACATTAACTATGACATAGACAAATTGTAACTTCTATTCTCAAAAAAGTAGCAGTCCAAGACATTTTTAGTCGATAGAGTTGCTTTCAGTATGGCCTCAACCAGGAATCAGAATAGCTGAAATCTGTTCTTGCTCCTCTTAGCTGTGCAGAGTCATGGTGTGACAGTGTGAGCCGAATTGTTGCTCTGTATGTGTTAATGTTGGAATTAACAAAGCTGCTGCATGGTCATATTTTATTTTTTCCTAGTTCAAAAGCTGGAAGAATAACATAACAAAGTACCAAGAACATTGGTACAAAGTTGTGATATTTTTCACCATGCTAACCAGAGGAAGTCAGAAACTTTCTTGTGGCACCCTTTTCCATAAGAAAATGCCCGATTGGCAAGATCATAAAGATCTGTTTGGCCAACACTCTAGAAGAAGCCTGCTTCCTTTGCTCTTCAGTGATCCAAGACTTTCTGGCTGCAACTTCCAGCAAAACCAATTCACTAGTGTATCAGAGAACTGAGGCTTCTCTGCTCTCTAGGCTGTGGTTGGTCCTTTTTATCAACCCAAGTGTTTCCCTCATTATAAACGAAGAGGTGGGAGATGAGCACATCCGAATACTTGAAGTTGCAGGAAGTTCTGAAATTTGAGATTTTGTTTCCCTATGAACTGGAATGAAACCTCAAACTGCAGAATTTGAGGTCAAGAGGACATTTTGTGCTTCCGACAGCTCTAGTGAAAAAGGAAACATTCACCTTTTGCTGCCTGCACTATGCAATTTGCCTGTTGCTGGGGGCATGGTAGCATAGAAGCTCAAGTGTGTCCATATCATGATAGAAAAAAAGGTCTCTTGGCTTCAGGCAGGAAGATAATAGTGAGGCAAGATAGGGACAAATAAAGACAATGCTGCATCTGTCACGTGGATCTTTGCAGAACCACTGGAAGCCTTGAGGACAGGCAGTATGGTCATGACTGGTTGAAATAGCAGAGATGTTGCAAGCCTGATGTTAGCTCTTGGCATTGTCAGGTGTGGGAGGTTTCCCTTAGTCATTCTTCTGCTGAGCTGAAGCAAAAACTTGGTTTCTAAGCTTCTGTGAAACAACTGGAAATGAGGCATTTTGGTACAGTTGTTCATTTTACATTCATTACAGTGTTCGCATGTGTATAACCATAATTCCTGTGAAAGTACCAGTACTTGAAATAAATCCTTGAGTAATCTGCCTAGAGGCAGAGGAATAAAGATTACAGGCTATAGAATATCAGAGTCAGCTGTGCTGTTTGGAGAGGGACAGCAGTCTCTGAGTGGGGACAGGGAGACCACTGAAAGATTTTTTCAAGTAAGCTTTCCCTCATGATAGGTGTGCATTCATAACAAGTGCTGCTGTGGAGCCAGTTCTCTTTACAGACAGCCTGCAGGGTAGGCATGTGCAAATGTAGTACTTCTTGAAGTTGATATCAGAGATCCAGTGAATGCATCAAATCATTAGTTGGAGCCAAGTGAAATAAAATATTAAAAATCAGATTTCTGCTGAAGTAGAAATCTTTTAAAAATAAATGAGAGCAATTAATTTCTCATTAATCACAGTCAGGCACATTATTTCATCAGCTTTTCTTTTGAAAAGCCTAAAAAATAGTGATGCATTTGAATGCAGGAGCTCAATGCAAACGTTGTATTTTGTAAGCACGGATTAGAGTCTTTGCCTATGTTTGTGACCAAACTTTGTTATCAGCCCCTGTATCTGATATGCTAAACTCTCTTATCACCTCATGCTCTGGGGCATTCAAAACCATGTTCCTACTGTTCTGAGTTTGAATTCATTCATAGTTAGAACTAAGCTGAGGAAAAAATAGTTTAGAGAGAGAATAAGGTGCTAAAATGCATTAAAATACCATAGTATCTTTGATAAGAAGATGCATGTGCTATATCAGGCCTGTGCCCCGAAAAGCCTATCACCACTCTCTGAAGCAGTGGGACGTTATGCTTCATGCCTTTATTATGAACCAAGGAAATGGCTATTGTTCACCTTACACTGAGGCCAGCTTTCTAAAACTTTACGTGGGTAAAAGTAGTTGTTTTAAGAAGAATGTCACCTGTACTCATCACACAGGTTTTCATGGGAACAATTGGTTCAGCCACAAGAAACTCCAAGCATGGGTATGATGGTACAGTACCTCATCCTCTCTCTGTTTGATGGGATGGTCTCATTATCCTTCTTCCAGTAAAATATGGGAGGTGGCATTCCCACAACTCTGCACTCTAATCTGACGGGGTACCCTTCAGGAACACCACAGTTCTGAAGCTTCTCCAAAAACATGGGGGCTTTTTTTACTTCCTTTGCTGGAAAAAGAAAAAGAGTTATTGAACAACAGATATTTTATTCTTTGTTTTGCTTTGAACAGTATGGAAGAACACAACCAAAAATTATTCTTGTGATATCAAAATAGGTTGTGAATTTTTAATGGGATATTGGAAGGAAAGTGAAATGTCATGACATAGCCTCTCTAAGGGAACATAAAGAAAATAATAGGCACAACTGATGTTCATAAAAGAATGTATGTATATCTAATGGGTCTAAACATACCGCTATTGCAGGAAAGTAATGCCAGATTGAAGAATTTCAGTATCTTATATTTTTAAACTAATAAAATTGTGACTGAAATCTAGGAGAGCTCAGTATATATTATCAATTCTCACCCTAAGCATTTTCTGGGGAGAAAATTCAGAATGTCATGTTGCCAAGACAAGAGAGGTAAAGTGGTGATGCGTCAGAATTCTTTGTAAATAACAGGAGTGCACCTATTGACTGAGCACCAGGTCCATTTCCCTCCATCAGATGACTTTTACAGTTGTTGCACTCTCCTACTATCAGTGGATTAAC